CAGAGCGTCCAACTCTCATGGCGCCCGTAGAGTATCGTACTCTGTTTTCAATCATAATTTTTTATTAAAAAATATGGTTATTTTTATTATAAAAATATATATGAATGTATTATTATTATTAATTAATTTGTAGCCTACGAGATAAATATGTTTTTATCGTGTAAACTTGATATTGTACATTATTGCCAAAGTACACAGTGAATTAATTTAATTTATGTCTCTTGATTATTCACCATAGATTACTGATCACATTTTCTAGCGTTAGAGAAAACATATAATGGAAATTCTTATAAAATATATTATATTAAAATAGGAATATTTTTTAATAAAATAAAAAATTTTTATTTGGTATATTATACTTGTAAATCGAAGACTCCTTTTATTTCAAAATAGAATAAAATCGTTAATATGACAGTTGCCAATAACTTGTTTCATTCTTTGGTTAGGCATAATGGCTACGTTTACACCGTACGCTTAGTCCGCGACCTATACGATAGATGTCTTTGTTTAACTTATAGGATAAACAAGGACATCTATTGTATAGACCGCGGACTAAGCATACGGTATAACGTAGCCAATTTCAATTAAAACTTCCTAATTTTGATCAACATTTAATGTAAAATTTTTTTTATTATAGTTTTGATTTTGACAAATTATGTTGTTTTATTTTTTAATGGATCGTTGAATTTCTAATAAACTTTTGCCTGTCGTTTCGGGGATCAAATACCGCACATAGGGCACTGCTCCAAGTACAAAAAGTCCATAACTCCAAAAGACGATTGTTTCTCCGGCTAAATTAACAATAGGTTGGTAGCTCTTGACAAATATGAAGGAAAGTAGAGCGTTGCTCGAAAAAATGCAAAGAGACGCTAAATTCTTGAGATTTGCTGGGAACATCTCACCTACAAGAGTGGTAGGTACCGTGGATAGACCACAAGACACAAATAGATTAAAGCATAGCAATGATGTGGTTGACAACCATGTCAGTTTTTCAGGATCAAAGTTCAGAGAAAGGAGATAAAAGTGAAGACCAAGAGCGATGAATGAAATGGTGACGCCGACGCTGGAAAGCATTATCAGATTCTTCCGACCAAATCTGTCCACCAACAAGACAGCGATAAAACCAGCAACAACTGTGGTGAAACACATCGCTATTACCAAGATCGATGGAGTGATGGTTACTTTGGTACTGATAACGATGAGCTCTGCATAGGCGTTTATTGTGCTGAACGAACTCGCTTGGACGAAGATGAACAAGCCGAACAAGATAAAAACGTTCTTCAAATTTACTGAAACAGACGAAAATTGATTTTAAATATAATTGAGATTTACTTAATTTTTACTTATGACTGTTTGTTGCATAATGTCCCATCCCAAAATGTTTAATTGTTGCTTTCGAATAAAAACTCATGTTTATTGCTAAACACTTCAAACATAAAAAAACAAAAAACAATTTATGCTAAAGACACGATCAAAGATGTTGCTTTTGAGATACCTGGTAATAAAAAGTCCTTGAGTTTTGTTAAAATGCTGGTGTTCGCGCCATCAACAAAGTCCTGAAGCTCCTGTATTTCGGCCTTGACGTTAGTCTCTCGTCGGAACCATTTGAGAGATGCCTCAGCTTCATCGATATTACCGTGAAGAGCATAATGATAGGGTGACTCAGGTATTAGACTGAAGAGGATCATGAAGAGGATATTCGGTACGATGCTCACATAACAGAACATCTCCATGGACAGATAAGGACCCATCACATTGCCCAAGAACATACCCATTGATGCTGCGTTCACTATCAAGGATATCTGAAGATACAATCACGTATTATGATAATAAGCTTTTGCAATATTGTTCAGCAAACTTGCAAACTGGATTATTGATAAAAATATTTAATTAATTTTTAACTACAGTTCGGAAAAACATTTTCAATTTATACATTTAGACCCGAGATTTCTTTTTTTGTTGTATCTTCTACAAATTTGAATAAATTTTAATTAATTTTCTTTCATTAAAAATGTATAGAATCCAAATCTGTAAAAAAGTTTCGATAATAATATTAAAAATTACGACAAAAAATCGTAAGCGAGTGTTTTGCAGAAAAGTTCTAAAAATAGCATTTTGTTCTAAAAACAGCATTTTATTCTAAAAATTGTATTTTTACGAAAAGAAATCGAAAAACAAAAATAAGTATCGTTTTAAAAAAATGAACTCATCAACATTAAGAAAAATAATTAAAAGTTATAATGTTTGTTTTCTCAAAAAATATAATTATATTAATGAATAAGATAGAAGTTTAGATATACTTATATGTACCAACTGAATGTATGGGAAAACAACAGAGTTAAGTATATATAAGTTATTAATGTTCTTTTTAAATTATTAGGTTGATGTAAAAATAATGTCGATTTTTTATTTTTTTCCAATTTAGTTCAAATAACGAAAAACTGTTGATTGATAAAACATTCTTGATTGATTTAGTTCTTTTCGAGTGGTTTTTAATGGATCTGCTTTAATAATTGCCGTCAAAATAATGTCAATGGCTGCAGGCCATCCCTGCTGTCGAAAGTTTCAGAAAGATTCAGATAGGAAAATTTCTATTCATCTGAATCCATTTTATTTTGAAATTTGTCGCCGAACGAATCAGTTGTATTTCGAGCGAATCCAAAAAATAGGAATCTTATCCGACTAAATCCGGTCTAAACCGAGGTCGGCGGAAAGATTCCAATCCGACAGAATCCGAGGTCAGTGAATAGATATGATTCCGGTACAATATTTTAACGAAAAAAAAGTTTTTTTTTATTTTTACACAGTTATTATCGTTTTTTATTTGTCAAATTTAATTTGTATTTACTGTTTCGCATATATTCTATTTTATTATGTTACAATTCATTTTCAAAGCGCCGGTGAGATTTGAATCTACCACCTACGATCCCTAGTAGTCTAATATGCACTAACGCTGAACTAGGGCGTTTTTTTTTGTTATCGAACTAGAAGCGACCACAGCTAAGGCTATCTTCATCTTCAGGGATCAGATGACATTTATTCGTCATCAATACTTGTTTATAATTTAATTAACAAAAGGAGATCGGACGGAAATAAAATTATATACTAGTATTTGTTAACGAAGCTAGAATATGGGTACTTTCCAGTAAGGACACAGTCAGACACTGTGGCTACGTTTACACCGTGCGCTTAGTCCGCGACCTATACGATAGGTGTCTTTGTTTAATATACAGGATAAACAAAGACATCTATTGTATAGGCCGCGGACTAAGCGCACGGTGTAAACGTAGCCTATGTTCTATGAAGTTGGCTTCGTATCAGCTGTGCACAGTGGTTTGTAATTGCCAAATGTTTTATTAATTTTTCGACTAATTTCCTCTGCTTTAGAGCCTAGTTTCAAATCGTACAAAAAATTACTCGCAATTGCTTCTTTTTCATATTTAATAATTATAACAATAATTGATTATCAAGTTAACACCGAGAACAAAATTACTAGCACAATTAACAGAGGAATCTGCAATTGACATTTTGAATGAAGCTAATCAGTTAAAATTAATGGCTTATCAAATTAATTTAGTTATGTTAACCTTGAAACGATGACCATCTTTTTTGATATTACTAGTGGTGAAGTGACGTCAATTTGACGTATCCTTAAATAGAGGTATGTTTCACTAATATTAATATACTATTACGATTATTTGTTACTTGCTAGATGACAATTAATTATATAATATTTATAATATTTTACAAACAAAATATAATTTTTATTAACGTATAATAATAATAATAATATATTTTATTTTTAAATATGAAGTGTAGTTTTTCTTTAAAATATTTTTTAGAATATCAACCATTTTTATATTGTTATTGTAAAATTATATTCTATGGTAAAAAAAAAAGAACGAGAAATAGTGATAGAAAAATTAAATACTAATACATACTATTGGATGCAGAAATATAACAGTGTCACGAGCAGAGAAGAATTATATAATTATATATTTTGAGATTGAATAAAGAATGAGAGACAAGTAAAAGAATCGTGTAAAAATAGGAACTTTACATATGAAAGGATTCCGTTAACTAAATTACCAGAGATCCTCGGATAGCAGGATTGGCGATCTCGCCAAGGTACAAGGATATCGCGGGCCACATAACACCCGATCCGATTCCGGAGCATAATCTGGAAAGGTACAGCCACATGACCGATGTGGCGCAGATGTTGAGAATCCAACTAGAGAGTAACAGCAAACTCGATAACAGCATCACTTTCTTCAGCCCGGTGTATTCTGAAGGATTGTGTCGTGGCACGTATTAGAGACATGTCATCCTGAGAACAAGATCGCCACAACTCAGAACAGAGCGACTTGGTCTCTTTAAAGATGAGATATATTGTAATATCTTCTAATTTTGTTTACACATACATTACGGAGGCAAATCAATCTGCATGATTAAAAAAAGGAAGATGCTTCTCTAGACTGAAATAGAAAGATATAAATATATCTCAAGAAAATATTTAGAGAAGGATTCAAGAATTTTAAGAGTAAAAATTTAACTAGGTATTTAAAAAAAATAAAATCTATTACTCATAGTTTTAAAGTTTCAGATATATTAGAATTATATCTATAATTGCATAGTTCCAAAAGCAAATTGGAGCTTTAAGAAAGATTTAATTTTTTAACACTATACAAGGTATACTATACATCCCATTTTAAATAATGCATTAAGATTTCTCGAGAATGATAAACGCAGAAAAATGTTTGAAATAAAAGTTATAATATATGATTCGAAGAGGAATATAAGAAGATACCATTTTAATTTGACCTTGGGTGGCGTTGTTAAGACCAGGTCATTTTGAATTTTTAAAACGGACCCCCCATTTTTTATTACATATTATCATAGCTTACTTTAAGAGCTTTTCAAAACACTATAATAAAATTCTTTTTCAGAGGTGCCAAAAGGTTTGCGGGTTATCGCCGTGTCGTGATTCATTGTAAATGTCAACGTGAATCTTGCCGTTCACTTTATTAGGGCGAGGAGCGCACTGTTGTCTTTTACGTAAATAAAAATAAGAAAAATAATCTTCAATGGCTTTGAATTGATGGCTCTTTCTTAAGGATTTTTTTTAAGGATCGTTATCCAGATCATGATTCTGAACAATATTCAAGAGGTTTTAGCCGTCAATCGGACACCTGGGTAATGCTAACGCCGATGGTACGATAACTTTCAAGCCTTATAACTTAAAAAGTTCTTAATGAAAAAGAATTTTATTGTGGTGTTTTAAAAAGTTCTTGAGGTAAGCTACAGGAATATGAAATGAAAAATGGGGGATTTCATTTAAAAAATTTAAAGATCTTGATCTGACTTTAATCTGTCCTCCTTCGAACTATACAACTTTTGTTTGAAACATTTTTTCGTATCTACCATAGTTTTCGAGAAATCTTAATGCATTATTTATTAAAATGGGACATCCTATATATATATATTCAAAAGAGGATATATATATATGGAAAAGAGAGAGTTGGCTCTTATAGATACTTATATTTTTGTGATTTAAATTTCTATTTAAACAGAATATTTATATTTTTTCTATTTAATCATGAATAAGATAATAAGAATCTATTGCATATAAATGTAAAGATAAAAAGAAATTAAAGTAATGATAAAATAATAGTTGAATTAATCGTAAATTATTATTACTGTAAAAATGTAACGACACATTATTATTATAATATTTATAGTTACAGACAGAAAAAGTAACGATTGTTACCAAAAAAGTAACGGAAATAGCAACGGTGTTATAAGAGTAACGCGTTACTTCCCAACTCTTGGAGGATATAAAAATTCGTACGTCGAAGATGTTTCGAGTAGTTTCGACGATCAGTGTGGTACATGATTCTAAATATTTTTAATTTCGTATTTTCTTAATATTTTATTTCTTATTGTTAAAAGTTAAAGATTTACTTTACATTTTCGACCATTGCTGAGTCGTGGTTGGCTTGTTCTTAGGTTGCGAATTGTTGCTTGTATTTAGTCAGGAGCAAATTTAATGGTTAAATGGTTGATGGATCGAGAAAAATTTACTGGACTAGAAAAGAAAAAGAAATGACTACAGAAAGAATTGAATTTGTTTTTCTTTTATTATATTAATATAATTTTTTAAAATTAAAAATAGAAAGAGAGTTGAATATTTCACACAGAAGAAAAAGATTTACTGAATGGAAACATTATTATTAATAACATTTATAATAAGTAAAAATTATAGAATATTGAAATACATGTATATTATATTTAAATTGAGATATTATAATTTATGACTTATAAATATATATTACATATACAGGATATTTGATAATTCTGATACAGTTAATCTATATTGGGGTACATCTATAATAGAAAAGAATTAAACAATGAATTTGATTTGAAGAAAATTTATCTCGATAAATCCTTTTAAACTTATGCTTGATGTATCTTAAGGGAGGGCCTGGTTTACAGGGTAAACAAAATTTTTTTCATAAAACGACAATACAACTCTTCGAGAATATGTTCCTCAAATTTTGAAAGAAATTCTTCAGTAGATTCAACGCTTGTAACGGGAATGCGACGATTATCGAGATATTGAGAACATTTGATTCCTAATTACACCGATTTATCAATCAAATGATTTGTTAACGCGACGTCTGAGTGGACATATTCAGGGCATGAATGAAAGTTTTAATTCGATCGTCTGGAAACTGGCGCCAAAGCACTTCAATTATGTTGCAAAATTCTCGAAATCGCCGCTTTTATCGATAATGGCATTTTCAACAAGGGATATTTTGCCGTTTTAAAAATCATGAATGAATTAGAAATTAATATTGGACCAGGCTGCAAGCACTACATATGACACACAGTACTTCCAGGCAGGAACGCCGACGACTCGGTAGGAAAAGACTCCAGTAGCTCATAGGATGGACCAAATTGCTTAGAATGAATTTAATGAGGAAGCTGAAGGGGTACTGTATGCCCCTGGAATAAAAGGTTAGTTTCTGAGCATCGTAAGTATTCAAGAGTTACAATTTTTTACACCGAAAACTTTAAACGCTTTTTTCTCGAAACTATTTTTGGCATTTTTTTCAATTTTGTGTACACGATTACAAGTAAAGTATTTGACCAATCGATTTTATATGTAAAAGGTTGTTAGATAATGTCAATTCTCCTCGATAAATCTAAGAAGTTAAAAACAATCAATATCAACAATTTTTTTTGTTTAAAGAATGGACGCTACCAAATGAAAATCGTAACTTTTTTTAAAGTCGTATAAAATTTTAAATTATATACATTTTGTTTAATTTTTTAAGTTCATTTAGAATAAAATTATAAGAAAATTACAAATATTTCTTGATTTTTTATTTCAGACAAAAATTAAAGTCATCAGAATATACACAAAATGATAACGTCGACAGCGAGGCGCAAATTTTAATGTCAATTTTTTTGTCATTAATATTTTTTGTATACAACAAAATTTAATTAAATTCTTCAATATTAGTATTACAACACATAACAAATTTTAAAACGTTACTATTCTTTTTTAAAAAAACTACAAAAAATCACCTTTTTTCGGCTTTCTAAACCAGGCTCCCTCCTTAAGAAGATGAATATGCGTGTTTCTCTAGCAAAATGTGATAGGGACTCTTACCTTGACAAAATGCACCGATAAACGCCCCAATTACACGTCCAAGACTTAAAAGGGACGCTACCCAAGATGCCTCAATAGCGGTCAGTTTCAAGGCAACATTTGCTTCCGCTGATGTTAATTGCGCTAAATACGGGGAAGCCCAGCCGTTGGCCAGACCAGTAACGATGGATTCTAGCGTAACTATGGGACACAACGAGATATATCATTGAAAACGTTCGAGCTGTAGTTAATGAACAATAGTATCTTTTTTTTTTTACGAAAAAGTGATTTTTACATGTTTTTTTTTCGAAAGTTAATAGTTTTGAACTAGATAATTGCACTTTACTTTTGGTTAACACTACACTCTAAATTTTTGAGAGTGAAATTTCATTCCCGAAGAGAGTGGTAGTTGTGATCCGGTAGGAATGAAATTTTCACTCTTAGAGAGTGAAGAATCACTCCAAGCCAACTTTCACCAACTTTCACAAAATCAACTTTCCATCTCTGCGAAGAGTGAATAATTTCACTCTCTGAAAGAAGAGACTGAAGGTAGGATAAAAACACTAGATGTGGATCAGGCACTAGTTTCGGATCACTTTTTATATTTAAATAATTATAGTATTTTCCATTAAATGGTACAGAAGCGGTCATTAATGCCTTTCTACTGCGTTCTGATATTCATTAAATTTTCTATAGTATACGTAACATACTATATGAAACGCTTGCGCATTACAATTCAGCGGAAAGGCATTAATGATCGCTAGTGTACATATCACAAGATTCTTTAGCATTTGTTTTATCTCTTTCAACTGTCATTTAAATTTAATTTATTGCGAACAGCGCTACACAACGATATATTTTCTAAGATTTTCTGTGGTTTATATTATACAAATAATTAAATCTCTTTATTTTCCCTAGCTTTTATCCTTTTTTTTCTTAAGTACTTAGAATAACTCCATACATATATATATATATTGCACCTATCAAAAATTTAATTCATCAAGTATTATTTATTACTATGTTTAAGGTAAATAAATTACCGAATGGTACTATTTTTATTGTATCAAATTATAAAACCTAAGTAGTATTATTTTTATTGTACCAAATTAAAAAGTAAAATGCAATGTGCTACTTTATTATTTACTTAATTTTAATAAAACTCAAGTAGTACTGTTTTTATATACATATAATACATATAATTATAGCCTCACACATTAAAATACACACATTTTTACGTTAACATATTACATATACGCATATTTAGTAGTCTCGATTCCCAATTTATTGATTCATACATCGATTTTCTCTGTGGTTCTTTGCTATGATAGTGTCAGAAAATGGATAGGTAGTACATGATAACGATGTAGTATCCAAACCAAAAATGGATGTACTGGCGCTAGTGTACGGGCGATTTTGATGATAAGTCGGTACACGAAAAACCCGGAGCATTCCAATAATCCCAACCGATTTAACTTTTCGATTCCAGAAAGATATGTAATTTCAAATCAATTAAACGAACTATTTATATTCTAAATTTTATGCAACTGATGACTCTGTGAGTACGAAACGTCTTGCGACCATTGTTCCTGTCTACATTTTTGTAATTAATTAATTATATAAATATGCTATCTTAATTCTTCGTTAGTAAAAATTTCGTTTCTGATTGTTTATTGGTCGTTATTCTTATTGTATGATATTGTATTTAAGTGATATCGAGCGAGTATATATTCTATTTATTTAAAAAAATTATATACATATTCATATAGTGTTGGTTCCTATTGGCTTTATATGTAAATTTTTTAAATTTATTCTTTGTGTGGAACCTAATTATAGTTATATTTCATTATTACTTATCCTTGTTCACAGATCGTATAACGTTTGTCTAAAATATTTTTGCCTGCTGGGCTTAGTTTTTGAGTAAGTTATCTAGGGAAAGTAAAATGGGACACTCTACATAATAATATATAACATCAATGCAGAGTAGTGTAAAATGACCGAATTTGTTATTAGATGATAGCTTCTGCCTAATGACAGACGAAGCTTATATTAGGTGTGCATATTTAATAACGTCTATTTAATTTCGAATTAATTAATTTGGTGCAGAATATTCAGCTGTGTTTTATTTTTCATTATTAAAATAATTTTATCCGTTGTATGCTCACGTAGTTTTAATTAAAATATTTTATGACTAATTGTATACTTACTTGCAAAGGCGGTAAGCCATTGTGGCCAAACAGTGATTTTCCTGTCGTTGGGAATCTCTGGATCCTTATTTGCACAAGACATTTTTTCCTAAGACAGTGCAGGATGTAAGGTGCATATTACGGTCCAGGTAGAATCGGACTGACCCTTGCGAGTTCGAGTGAGCTTCCTAACGAGGAAGAAACGAGATGAATGCATTTACATTCCGATAAGAATACGACTTATTTATAACATCTCACGTGTCATGTGATTTGATAATACATTCGTAAATTCCATTTTGATGAAATGTGTTTGCACGCTGGTAGTGATCTATAAAAAATAAATGTCAGTACCAATTTATCATTATTTAAACGATTTATCGTTATTTAAAGATTTGAATATTTAAACTTGAGGTACACTTGAGGCTCTCTAAAAGAAAACGATGAAAATTGCATGTATTTCGTTTCAAAGATCTTAATTTAGAAAATTTCAAGTTCAAAGATGTCAACAGTCTAAGTTTTCAGCCAAAGTGCTAAGAAGACAGAGTTGAAGAAACTTCTAAAAAGATTACACATTCAAAGCATCAAAAATTTTAAATTTTGAGTTTGCCATTTTAATTTAAATTTTTCAAGAACTAGAATTCTCAAAATCCAAAATATAAAAGTGCTGGAATTCAACTTTCGATAAAAGTTCAAAAATACTATAATATAATGAAAAATATAATAATTATAAATATTTGTATATTATGTATTACATTAAATTTAAATGTTAAGTGTTTCAAAAATTTAAGAAAAAATTCACACCAAAATATAAACTTTTAATAATTGTTTTAAAGGTATAATTAATGTTAATAAATAATTATTACGAGTGCATAAAAGATATTACACATTGTACATATAACAAATCTTTCATTTATAAACATTTTATATTTTAATATTTATATAATAGTATAACAATAAAATGTTATAATATTTTTCTTCTATAATAATATTTAACATTTGTCTTCTTGAAAAAAAATCGGGTTTTTTTTTGTACAAAGATAGCACTGGTTTTTGATTTTAGGGAGATTCCAGGTAGCGTGTAAATACTGGATGAAAATTATAATAGTAACTTTTACGATGATTACGTTCTTATCGCAAAAACATGTTAAGCTTCTCTAGCTATTAAAAATACCGGAGTTCCGACGGTATTTGCAAATTTATTGCCTGAGGCGAAAATAATCACATGAGCATTTTATCTTCTCTAGGTCATCCTAAAGAAAACTTTTTTAAAGAATAATATTTTATTTTTTTAAAAGCCGTTTTTTATAATAAAGTATAATAACTGTGTTATACTTCTCCGACTTTATAGAATCTAAAAAGCATGTAATTTAATAAAAAAGTTGTTACTATTTAATAACACTTTTAGTTTGTAATATATCTTTAAAAGATTAAATATTTTTAACAATATATTTTTTGGCTAATTGGAAATCAATTTTTTCTCAACAAAAATTGAGACATTAATAATTTTTGATAATATATCGAATAGAGGACACTCTCCCCCCGATGACATTGACCTTGACATACGTTATTAAAGTCATGATTCTGCGCAAAGACATAGAGAATGAATATGGCGCGATCCGTCAAAATGGTGATAAAAGTAAGAGAGAGGGACCGTGGAAGACGGCCATCTCTATCTCTTTCCATCCAACGGTGTAATGAGAGAATGAGAGAGAGATGGGCCATCTTTCACGGTCTCTCTCTCTCTCATTATTGTCTACCACATTTGAATACTACTTACAATTAGATACGGATCGCGAAGTCCATTCTCTGTTTTTGACTCTGAGTGACAACAGGTTTTAGTCGTCGCTCGTTGTTCATTAAAAGGTTATTAACGAAAATGATTAATAACCGAAATGTAATTTTTGGACACAGGGTATATCTTTACCATTTATGACTATTTACACGGTTCGATTTACGCCAAAGTTATGAAACTGGCGAATCATATAGCTATTCCTTTGAAGAATAGAATAACTATTGTACAGTTTCATGACATCACATCGATATGTTATAACTTTGATGTAAATCGAACTATGTAGTCTATGACTATACATTTACATGGTACCCTTAATCGGGTTTAATAACATCCGTAGTTATGAAACTGTCGTTCCATTCTTCCAAGAAACAGCTATGATTGGCCAATTTTATAACTACGGATGTTATTAAACCCGATTAAGCGTGCCGTGTAACAGAAGTCTATAATTTTTCCATCTCGTAAACAGGGGGATGTAGGATGAATCTCGCTTCGTATGGAAGGTCAGATGTTTCTAGGGCCTAGTGTTGCTAATTTAATAGAATTTTTACCAAATTTGGAGATTATTTCTTTTTACGGGAGATTTTTTAGGGGTACAAAAAGTTTGGGAGAATTTCCGGATGACTTTTGAAGAAGAAAATACAAAAAAGTAAATTATAGCTAAAGTATTGACAAAATCGCAATATAAGGGATAACTTTCGAACAGATTTAACAATATAGTGTTCCAGGCAGGGGGATGGGGTAAATCAAGGGGGTAATCACTTGCTGAAATATTGTCCCACAGATTACATGATTTTGACATAAAAGTAAAGCATTACGTAAATTACATGTATAGCAGAATATATCTAGAATATACAGGGTGGTCCACTTAAATCGATCATCTGAAATATTTTGCTTATTTTTGATGATATAAAAAATGTTTCAAATGAAAGTGGAACGATTTCGAGGGGGATGTATTTTGGTCATGCTTTTTTTTTAGGTGGAAGCGACAAAAAGATATAAAGGTCACTTCTCCACTTTTTTAAATGGAATTAAAGTATGATTTTTTTACATAATATAATGCTTCTAATTATTCTGCATCTAAAAGCATCTAAAACAGCTGTTATTTTAAAAAATCAATATTTTGAAAAATCCCTATATACATACTTCTATAGTCTATAGATAACGAAAATTTTTTGTTTAAGGTTAAATCGTGTACCTAGAATCCTGTACACTAATTTAAAGCTGCAGAAAAACGGATTCCGCCGGTGCGCCCCCATTTTAGATATAAAAAAAGTAAAAAAAAATTTTTTTTAGTTTATTATAAATGCACAATAAAGCTAGCTAAAGATTTTAAATAAAGTTATTTATTTACTCACAAAAAATTCTCTGTTAAAAATGCTGTTAAAAACTTAAGAATATATTTTTTATAATTTTTGAAACACATAATAATTTCAAGAAGTAATTTAAGGAGCTTCTATGTGAAACAAAATAAACACTTCGTAGGTTTACAATATACATTTTTACATAATAAATGGAATAAAAATGTAAGAAATAGAAAATTATTAGGTAACATGCATTTTAAAAGATTAGATTGCGGTGCGATTTAGGAAATTACATCATGGTGCAATTTAGGAAATTAGAACATTTTAAAAACTTTTATTTATTTAATCTATAAAAAAATGTAAAGTAAACTTTAATCCTATTAATTTAATTTTAATAATATTATAATCACGACAAATAATCAAAGCTTAGACTATTTAACTTATATTTACTGTAATTTTGCTATGAAATACGTTGAAAAATAGCAACGCTATCACGATTTTTTAATTTATGTAAATAACAATTTTATTTAAGCGATTTTTTTGAACGTGTTCATCAAATTTTTAGAATTTCATGTTTCACGTATTTAAAACTATCTTCTCCTCGCGCATATTTGTTCTCCGATTATTTATATCCAATTTCAGCGACAAAACAACCTTCTCACGCGCAACCATTTACTAACCTTCGTTCTCATCTCTATCGTTCTCTTTTCTACCCTTTCGTTTCCTTTTACCCTTGATACCTCGAGAAGTTCCCAAAACAGCGCGACGCCTCCACGAAAACATCGTTTACTGCGGACATCGCGTATTTCCGACAATTCTCGTGCGACATCCCCGATAGGGATGTATTTAGCGGCGAAATTGTTGGACGCTATGTTACGAAAACATATAGAACATATATAGCTTCTACTTTTTAAAAATTACTCAAGCTGTCATTAAAATTAACGGAATCATAATTATCCCAGACCTCATTTAAATTATAAAGATTATTAAAGTTTTATTATAGTTGTCGAAATAACATAAATTATCCATCGTTTTATTTAAATCTTAAAAATTTTAGTTTTAGAATAATTTTCTGAAAGAGCTATTCCACTTTTAGAAGAACTTGACACATTACATGTATTTAGGTATATTGGATCTAAAAGATTCATACATTTTGTTGAATAAAATTAGTTTTACGTTGAATTACGAAAAGATATAAACACGTGTCACTATTTTTAGAAAATCTATATACTATGCTTAGAAATAATTCAATAAATAATAAAAATTATTAATCATTAATTTCCATTTTAAAGAAAATTATATTGTTTCCTCAATTATTATTATTTCGTATTACACCTATTTCTATCTAATTTAATGACAGTGAAAACATTTTGAAAATTTCAATTTTGAAAAGTTTATTAATTGTTGTCATTTAATAAAAAGTTTTAGAAGTTGAAATACTTTACTACAAATCCCATTTATGTATAAGATCAAAAAATAAAAAAAAATTATGATGTTTAAAAATGTACAATTTTTTTATCTATTTAAAATAAGAAAGGAACATTTCAATTAGACATTTTTAATTTTCTCTTTACATGCGATAAAAAATTATTTTTTATAAAATATTAATTGAATTTAGAAACGATTGAGAAAAATATTGTTGAAGTACTGTTACAATTATATACAATGTAATTTCTCTAGTCACATTCCTGATCACTGATCGCACCCTCTTGGTTTCCATGCGGTGGTGCACTCAGTGCGAATCGCGCAGCCGCCCGAACACCTCGCGTTGTGATCGTATGCGAAAAAAGGATAAAAGAAACCGGGGCGCCGTAGGAGGGAGAGAGAAAGAGAACGAGCGAGAGAGAGAAAGGAACAGGCGAGAAAGATCTCGAGGTGTTCGGCGTCTTTGAATGGGGTGCGAGTCGTAATATCTGTGCTGTGGAGCATGACATTGTTATCCGTGGCATTGCGTGGGCGTCGCGGTCTTGAGATTCGTACCCTCTAGCCCTATTATTGACTCGGGGTTGGTTTGGCAGCCATGACGAGGGGTTGCATTCGCCACGAGATTGCCAGATGGCGCGGCGTGTGCGGTCCACCCTCCCTGGAATGCTCTCGGCGAGGATCCT